AACACAATACCATAAATCCAGCAATAAACCCACACACCCCATAACCATAACTCCACACACAAACATAAGACCACAAACTTCACCATAAACCCACATACTAACACATAACACAAACATAACCATAACCCCAAACATAAACCGACTTTGTGACCTAAGTAAAAGCCTGTAAAAATCACCCGCATTATTTTATGTGGGTAATTTAATAGCTGCTACAACCTTTTCTGTTTCGCGCTCATTCTGTCATCAATTCAAAGCATGAATTTTAAACTTCTCCCACCCCACACCCCCACCCCCCCCCCACAGGAGGGCGCCTCTCGGCCTAATCCCCAGCATATCAGCGTACAAGGCAGGTCCCCTCTGAAGACGAGAGAACTACATTAGCCCCGCTGTTACAGACCGACAAATTGAAAGGTGGGAGCTGGCTGTAGAAAGACATTCCTAGAGAATAGGCGCTCAGCTGGGGACAAGGAAAGAGAACGAGAGAAAGTAGAGGGGGGGGGGAGATAGGAGGGCAAAAATAGGAGAAATGAAACTACATGGGGGTGGAAAGTGAGAATTTATGAGGGGGTTGGTAAATAAAGTTATAAGGGGGTGGGAGCGAGAAGGAGGTTGTGGGTGTAAAGAAGGATAGGTGGGAGTGAAAGTATAAGAGAGGGAGTGAAAGTATAAGAGAGGGAGCGAAAGTATAAGAGAGGGAGCGAAAGACGGAGTGAGTGAAGGTAGAGGAGAGTGGGAGTGAAAGTAGGCGGGCTGGGAGTGAATGTATGAGAGGGGTATTGAAGCTAGCAGAGAGTGGGAGTGACATTATGAAGGTGAAGGTAAGAGTGGGTTGGAGTGAAAGGAGTAAAGGGGTGGGCATGAAGTAGGGGTGGGAGTGAAAGTAGTAGTGTGGGAGTAAAGAGGTAAGAGTGGTAATGAAGAAGGAGGCGTGGGAGTGAAAGTAAAAAGTTGAAAGTATGAGGGATCTACTTGAAGTGTTGTTAAAAGCAGAGCGAGTCTATCTGCTATCCCTTAAAATTCTAGATATTTTGGGTGTAGCGGCGGTTTCTTAATATTCCACTTATCAATAAAAACTTGACAAAAAAATGGAATATGAATATTAAGAACGAACTTCTTCAAATGAACTACCATAGTCAAATATGAGACGTGTAGTGTCTTGTAGAAGCTAGCGAATCTTTCACGGCTAAACAACGCTACTAAGTCACTTCACGATCAGTCTGTAGACAATAATGGCATTTACCTTATCAGATATAATTCTGAGACACTTAAAAAAATTCCTCTCACACAGTAAAGGCTGAAAGCCTACTAGAGTTACTTCATCGTGTAATCTTCCTCGCCTTGTATTACCGCCCTTTCTAGAGGGGAAACAACTCGAGTCAGGTGCATCACAATGAAGGCCGAAACGCGACGGGTTCTAGACTGAAATCAGACCTACGGGGCACGGGGGATTCCCTTAAAGACGGGGGGGGGGGGGGGGGGGGGGGGAGTGGGGGTGAGGGTTGGGGGGGGGGGGGTTCAAGGAGATACAGTAATTGAAAGAGTGAACTCAAGCAGAATAGATGTGTTTAGAGCGTTAAAAACTATGTGTGCGCGTATTATTGTAACGTGTGGGAGTATTGGGTGGGGAAGGGGGGGGGGGGGAGAGAAGGAAGATGATGCTGAAAAGGGAGGGGGGGGGGGAGATGCGATGATGGAAGAGGGATTTGACGTTGATTGATGTGAAAACTTAATGAGATGGTCTTCAACTGTGCATTCATCCATCTAGAGCCGAGACTACGCCGGCAGTGAAGGCCATGTGCAGGTGACGTACGGCCGTTTAAAAACATGGCCCCGTCAAAAACATGGCCACATAAAAACATGGCCACATAAAAACATGGCCACATAAAAACATGGCCACATAAAAACATGGCCACATAAAAACATGGCCACATAAAAACATGGCCACTTAAAAACATGGCCACATAAAAACATGGCCACTTAAAAAACATGGCCACTTAAAAAACAAGGCCACTTAAAAAACATGACCGCTTAAAAAACATGGCCCCGTCAAAAACATGGCCCCGTCAAAAACATGGCCCCGTCAAAAACATGGCCCCGTCAAAAACATGGCCCCGTCAAAAACATGACCCAGTCAAAAACATGGCTCCATAAAAAACATGAATTTTAAACACATGATCCCAACTAAAAAAAAGGCCATATACGAAACTTGGCCACATAAAAACATAGCACTATGACGTTAACAATATCGCCACATACAAGATTCCATGAAACAAGGCCCCGTCAAAAACATGGCTTTATAAAAACAAGGACTTTAAAAACTAGCCACAAACTAGCCACAAACTAGCTACTAAAAAATAAGCCCATCAATAGCATAACCCTAAGAAAACCTTGGAGCCACGAAAACATGGCCCCAATTAAAAAGATGGCCCCCATCCAAAACAGGGCTCCCACAAAAACATAGGCCCATAAAAAAACAATGACCCATAAAAAACATGGACCCATCAAACACGCTATGTCACTCGTGTCGGTATAGCTTAGCATCACGGCTGAACAGCGGCCAAATTAATAAGCAGCAATTAGATGATTACGCTCAAATTCCACCGCCTAGCTCGCGAGATGAGAGGCTTAGCCCTGACAAGACGGCAATGCTCATGTCAGAAAGCAGACGTCAAGCTCCGGCTCTTTGATAAAAAAAACAACAACTTGAAACGAGAATTTAGAGTTGTTTTTTCTTTAAGTTTCGACACATGAACAGAAACGACCTAAACTACTTAGATCAATGGACTGCGCTGGATTGGTATACGATGGATGAGGAGTTAACTAAGTACTCATTTGGAGTGGAAGCTTCTCCTTTTGGTTACTACAAGATGCTTTCCTTTGACAATAATTTTTTTAAACATCATGACCAACTGTATTACTTTTTTTTTCAATAAAACCTATAAACCTAAAGTAATATACAAAAAAAAAGTGAGGATAATACATAATATTTAGTATTAAAATACGAATTTGTCTCTTACTTTTATAACACACTATTCAATACTGTATTTATATTAAAACATATGGTAGACATGAACATATATCTCATATATATATTGGGGCCATATATATATATATATATATATATATATATATATATATATATATATATATATATATATATATATATATATATATATATAATAACCCCCCATTGCCGACGTCACTAAAGGATAGTGATAGTTTTCAACGAAGGGGCGCTCCACAATCCTGAGCCACCTAAGTCTGTAGCATGGCCACTCCCGGACCATCTTCAAACGTAAGTCTTCATTCTTTACGTATCAAACAGCAACAATTTTCTTTGATCTATCTACACAGCTAACTTCACGAACTAACCCTAATTACAATAACGAGACTTATGTCTTGAAGAACGCCACGGTATGCAGGCTCTAGGAGCTGAGCTTATCAACCACAGGCTCTGTGAGCTATCCTCATCAGCCACTCAGGACTTCCTCACTTCATTAACTCCAGTGATGCGTCACGTCCATTAAGAAAACTACATAATTGCATCACCCTCCCCTCCCCATCCCCATCCTCATATTTAAAGTCCCTTCTTTTTTTTAAACCCGTGTTTTGCTTGTGTCTGTTGTGTGAAGAAAGTATGTTAAAATATATGTTATTTTAACAATGATAAAAAACTTTTTTAAAAATGATAATTTCATATTATGAATAAAGCACCTAAGACAGACATATTGGCCAAGGCCCTACTTTTTGAGAAAAGAATAAAACAGGTAAAAAAGTTTCTATAATAACTTGTTTCTAAATGTAGTTTCTTTACGTAGTATAAACATTAGAAACATTTGTCATTGAAAATGTATAAAAATATGGGTGTGTGTAACAAACGCTGTTACTTAATGCTAAGATCTGTTTAAATCGGATTGTAGCAAGGGACAGATGAAGTAGAGCTCTTCTGTTTATCAGACCGCGGCAAATGAATGGGTAGTCTGGCCAGAGGTAAAGATTTGTATTTTAATAAAGCAGAAGATTCCAGCCTATTGATGTCTTTTAGAATGAGAAGAGTCTTTTTCCAGGGGTTTTGTTTTCTCATGCATGGATGAATAAGCAAGTTGACCTTGGGATAGGGTAACTCTAGCTAAATCTTACGCACGATCAACTGGGTAGCGCCCCTTTAATCTTGCGTATATCAGCCCTGCGGGGATTGGATTACTGTGGTGTCGCATAACTGGATCCTGAATACAGTATAAAATTACAGGAACCACACTACCCTCCCTAGGATTAGGAGCTTATGTATATGATTTTAAGCTTTTTGTCAAATAGGTTACCCCCCCCCCCCCTCCAAAGCAAAACAGAAGTTTTCAAACATGAAAAAATAAATGGTGATCTTTGGTCAATGTACCGTATTGGTCATCTAATATTCTGATATTCACTATAAGTGTGTGGAAGTCAACTTTATATACTTTGCTTAAAAAATAAAAGAAGACTGTAGGTAGTGTATTATGAGCACATCAAATAGAATTTATTTTATACTTTTGCGAACCGAAACAAATATTTTTTTTTTCGCTTTGTAAAGATTATAAGGGAAATAATCGTATTAAAATGTGATACGAATTATAGTGTTCTCTCCCTTAATTTAATATAGGCAAATTATAATTATTGTGATTGATTATTATATCTATACACTAGTATTCTATTGAGTAGATCTAATGTTTTATTTATTACTGCATTTATTTTTTTTTTATTTACACATAATAGAGAAGTTATCAAATTCATTCCGCCGCATTAATTAATTTTAGAGCCTTTTCATAATTCATTCAGGGATAAATTGGATCGAGTTTAAAATTATATTTGTTGTAAACAATAATTTAAATAGAGTAACGATGTTATTAGTTTGAGATTTATAATGTCACCCAATCCTCCCCCCTCTCCCCACTCAAACCCAAACAAACAAAAACAAGATTGCCAAATACGCTACAGCGGCGACGATTCTTCAAAGAGCTCTGTATTTCAAATTGTTTACAAAATGGCTGCGCCCAAGAAAAAAGTTGTAACAAAAGACGATTTGAGAAGGTTTATGAAAGAAAAACAGTCGCACGTTAAAGCATCTTCTAAAGTTGATCACCCATTAGCAAAGTATGCGAGCTTGAAGCTCTAAAATTACATTTATTTTAAATACATCTAATTCTAACTAAACTAGATCTAGATTCTAGATCTATAACCAGATTCTAGAAAAATCTACGAAATAAAATAAAAGTTGTAGGGCCTAAAAAAAAAGGAAAAAGTTAGGCCTACTGCTAGATCTACTTCTAGATCTAGATTTCAGCTAGATCTAGATCTATAAATTATAGGCTTCATACAAAACATCATATTTCATTATATTTGTAATTTGAAAAGTTTAAGGTACCAAAAGGCCAAGCGGCTGGAAATAGCTGTGAGTGGGAATAACCCCAACAAGGCAACAATCAACAGCATGCATGGCTATTCAGTTCCCAGTCTGCTATCATTTCATGCTAAATACGACTGGGAATAATATCTTACAATAGCAAATGCATTTATTGTGACTGGGGAGTGAGGTATAGATTAAGAGAGCAGTGCTATTTTTTATTGTGTTATATTTTCATTAAAAAAATATTAGGCCTAGCTAGGCCCTATGGTTTAAGTTTAGTTTAGCTGTTTAGGCTACGTAGGTCGTAGATGATCATTATGCACTCTAATTAAATCTATCTCTATACTAGTCTAATAGATCTAGTAATTTTTAAATAAATAATATTAATTATGCATCAATTTAGTTAGTAGTTCACATTGCTATTCAATGATTCAACTGTCAATTACTATTTAAAATTCGCTTAGAACAAATATCAGGTGAAATAGCATGCCCTTTTTAATCAGCTATAAATTATAACTCACAGTTTCCATCACACTTTTCCCAAATTGTTTTTCTCTTAGCAAAAATCTTAGGGACAGTTTTTTTTTTGCAGTTATGCAAGAAATCACATCACTATTGACAAAAAATCAACAAAAGTAACCCTTACTTACATGAACAACAGGGAAAAATTAAATTTTGATAATAGGGGGCATAAATTCAGTGTAAAAGATAAGGCATCTGATGGGTTCGTACCCGCACCTTCTGGCACGGCAGTCACCCACATGTCCTCTTGACCACACAATTTTTTTTTACATTAAATCTATTTTAAAAAGTCATGACTGTGAATTGCCCTAATAGTTATAAACAATGTCTAACCCACGCAAATAGGCCATACACAATCAGGTGTAGGTAAAATGCAAATGAAAAATATAATTATATTAAGGATAAATAGCAAGACACAATAAGCAAAAGATTTTGGTTTCTTGGTGGTGGTTTTTGAAAAATTTGAAATTCTGTATGCATATGTAAAAAATAGCATTATTAATAAGAATTCAGGCAATATAGTATCATATTGAGGCTGTTTGGGTTTTGTTTTTAGTAGGTCTGATTTTTCAAGGACTGATTCTATGTTTTGTTACTCTATTGCCTATTTCCTGTTAATAACTACTTTTGGTAATTGTGTACTTTACCTTTCAGATACAACAGTCTTAACCAGTTAATTTGTGTGCTTTGTAGTAATGTTATTAAAAATGATTTACTTTGGCAAGCACACATACTGAGCAAGCAACACAAAGAGGTAATTACATTTTTTTCAAAAATATTAATAATTTAAAAATTATATATTTCTTTTAGGTCAAGAAATTAAATGCTGGCAAATATTTAATACTAACAATAATCTTAAGCATAAAATGATGTCTTAATAAAAGGCAGATCTACCTTAGGCAGACTGTCTTTTAAAGCAACCAATCAAAATGTTGGCATATATAAGCTTAATATTTAAACATTGAAATTTAGGCCTGTAGAAAGTATTCTAATTTTGATAAAACAAAAAAAAATTCCAAATTGATAAATGCAATATAGTATTTATTTTCACACAAGTTCAATGATAACAAAGTAATACAACAGTAGTCTTAAGTTATTAATTACCTTAACATTATACACAAACAAAACGTATCACTCAATATTTTATGTTATTAAATTATGTTATCAAATTAAAAACAGGCCTAATTATCTAGGGAACAACATGTAACACATTGTACTGAGAAATATGGTTCACTACTCTATTATCGTTATTTAAAAATTCAAGATATGACTAGGCTAGAATATAGTATAAACCTTGAATACAATGACCCATTCAATTTGTTCATTGATGGTTGTCTCATCTTGTTAACATACAGTGGCCTATCTATCCTTTACAGTTGTTAGCCTTATTTTGCTATATTAGAAAAATAACAAATGATGGGATTTTTTTGGTTATTTTGACTTACTATCGACCTTTTTGTTCATGTCTGGCTGTAGTTCAGGATATATAAATGATAATAGATTTGCAAGAACAATTATGTATACATAGGAATTTGAATTGTACTTTAAGCATTAAGATGTCTATTGTTTGTCTAGAAAGTTTTAGCACTAAAGACACAAGGGCCAGCCAAACCGGAGCATTTGTTGCCGCCATCTGCCAAAAGAAAAGGGGATGAACCAGAAGAGCCTGATAGTAAAAAAGTTAAAACAGGTATATTACCGTATATTACTGTATTCCTGATTGTAAAACCTTTAAAACAGTTATTTTATTTTATTGGTAATAAAAATGTTACAAACAAGTCTTTTTTTCTGAATAGTTAAATTATGGGTTGTAAAATTGTTAAAACAAGTAGTTTATTTTCATCGGAACTTATGAAATATTCTTTTTATAAAGTAGCAGAAACTAGATACACATTTTAGACTACTCGTATCAAACGTATCCAGACATGATTTCTGAAAACTCATGATTAGTCTAATATGAAGCAAATAGAAATATTTCTTTATGTTTTAAGTTGTTAAGTATTTAGTATGTAGGTGTGCATATTTGTTTATATCGTTCATTTTAATAACTTGAGTTTGCATTTGAATACATTTTTAAATTGTAAAAATTACAAACTTTAATTGATCAGCCAAATATTTTAATTCTAAATTTTATGTATTATCCTCACTTTTTTTTTTTTTACATTACTTTAGGTTTGAAGCCACCAGAGACGTGAGTGAATTTTTCCTGTTTTTGTTACATTTTTGTACAAGGCACTATTAATTGAGTGGATACATGCATGCCTAAAAAATACAATTCTGTAAAATAATATTTCTTCAAAATTTGAGATATAAAAAGGTGTTCGAGATAAATAAAAATGTTTTCTATTACTATAATTTAAATAATCCGTATTTGAGATGTATACATTTGTTATCTGTTATTGTAATCCAGCATATACAAAGATGTGTTTTCTGTTACTATTATCCAGCTTATTTGTGATATAAAAATGTGTTTTCTGTCACTATTATCCAGCTTATTTGTGATATAAAAATATGTTTTCTGTTACTATTATCCAGTGATCAAGAGGATGTGAAAGAAAGAGCAAGAGCAGCATTTTTGGCTGGTTATTCATCATCATCTGAAGATGATGATGATGATGAGGAACAGGAAGAAAAAGATGACTTGGATACCAACAGTAACAAAACAACGACACAACAAACACCAGCCAAAACAGTCACAGCATCCTCTTCTGAAAATGGCCTTCCTGCTGGTATTACAATCAGTTCTAGTTTCATTTTGTACAGTAAAATAGTTATTTAGTTATTGACTTTGAAGTTGTTCTAGTTAAGAAGTTACTTAAAAAGCTCTTCTGTAATAAAGTGATGAAAAAATGTATGGCATGCAGTTTTTTGACTGACCCTTGTTTTGATCTAATTGGTAAAAAGTGCAGGTGAAGTAGAGCTAACATGTTTTTACTGTCTCTATGCATCACTTTCCCATCCAGGAATTATTTATGAATTTTAATTTGTTGTAAAAAAAATGGTACTGCCCTACAGAACTATTTAAAAAGTCAAATACTTTTTCAGACTTCTTTGATTCTGAAGTGGAACCAACAGAAGCAGAGGCAGCCCACAGTAAAACAATGTCAGAAATCCTCCCAGAAGGATTTTTTGATGACCCAAAGTTGGATGCAAAAGTAGGTTCGATAATTCATTTGGATTTTTTTATGTACCTAGAATTTATAAATATAAGAGAGTTGTTGAAATCTTTGATTTAAAAATGGTTATCCTATTCAACATCCTAAAACAATTTCAGGTTAGAAATGTTGAGTACAAAGATAAAGATGAAGCAGAGTGGGAGTTGTTTCAAAAAGCCATTAAGGAAGAAGCTCATGTAAGTGATCAAATTTTTAAATCCATGATTATAACATTGCGGTATATAGTTTGACATGCCCAGCAACCTAAAACAGCCGCAGTGAGGTTTATGGAAATAGTAATAACAAATTCAAGACAATTACTGGTACAATGGACATTTCTACTTTTCATCAGCACACTGTAGTGTGGTTAAAGATTATATAAACAAGGTTTTAACTTGCTCAATGTCAACTTGGTTGTATTGTTTTAAAAACTTTTGAAAAATGAATGGCGTTATGGTATTTTTTCTTTCTTTCTTTGTAAACGCCTATGTTGTGTTAACATCTTATTTTATTTTTACACAATATACTCTTCTCATAAACAGTGTCAAAATTACATACTTTCATTTTGAGTTGGCTTTTAAAGAATGGGATTGCTTTAGCATATTAAAATGTACATTGATGCCACTATCTATGGTGTATAAAAATTCTTTGAGGTAGTCAGTAAAATAAACTTGTGGAAATTATGAGGTATTTTAACCAGTGTTATGTACAAAGTATTGTATCTAGAACCTTTTAATCTTTGATGTGACAAGTCTCATAGCCCTTCATCAGATGTGAACAAAATCAGTCTTGTATAGTGCTAATTTTTTACTAGTATTACTGAGTTTTTTTTTTTTGTTTTTTTTTTTTTTTTTTACTTTTTTCTGAATTTTATTTTTCTTTTATATTTTATTTACAATGAACAGTTTGGGGCTTCAGAGTGTATTCACACAAATTCTTCAATGTCAAAACTAAATCAACCAATGTTTTCTCTACTGTCAGGCTTTTTTTCTGTGTCATTCTGACAAAGGCTTCCAGTTCATTTGATGAAATAAGTACACTCTTGTTTTGACCAAAGATCTACATCATATTTATTTCATTACTTCCAGTTCATTTGATGAAATAAGTACACTCATGTTTTGACCAGATCTACATCATATTTATTTCATTATTTCCAGTTCATTTGATGAAATAAGTACACTCATGTTTTGACCAGATCTACATCATATTTATTTCATTACTTCCAGTTCATTTGATGAAATAAGTACACTCATGTTTTGACCAAAGATCTGCATCATATTTATTTCATTACTTCCATTTCATTTGATGAAATAAGTAGGCCTACACTCATGTTTTGACCAAAGATCTACATCATATTTATTTCATTACTTTCAGGTGTCTGAAGTTATTATAGAAGAAGAAGATGAACAAGTGAATATTGTCAGAAAAATTGATGAGATAGATGACCAAATGTAAGTGTATAACCTCATTCTATTTTTAAACTTTAATTTACAGTTTTTTATAAACTTATATACATACTTTTAAAATACTGTATAATTTTTGTGGATATTATTGGTTTTCATTTTTTTATGTTTTTTATATCAAGTTTGCGGTGGCAAGAAGTTGAAAACTTGCATGTGAAAAAAGAAATAATACTAAAAAGTTCCAAGAATGATGGAGCAAAGAAAACAGATAGTGATGATGAGGTTGATGAAGATGAGTTGGACCAAATTCTGGACTGGAGGGTGAAAAGTCATTGATCACATGTTACATGGTGTCACTGCTAGCTTTGGTTTTATCTTCTCTCTCAAAGTCAACTTACCATCAATACTAGATCTAGAATAACTAAAAATATTACTATTGATCAGTAAATAGTATGGTTGTAAGCTGTTTAATAATGCAGTAAGTGTAAGCTTGGCTTATTTCTTTCAATGACCGACTGAACTAGGTGCACTTGGTCCTCACAGAGTATAATATTAAGTGGACAAATTTATCAATGTAAAGTGTAAGTTGATGGTTAAGTTTGCACACTAATTGTCACTTTACATGGTTATGTTTGGCTATGTATTGTACAAAAATGTGTGTTTCTAATTATTTGTATATGGTTATGTACAGTTTATGTATTACATGCCTGTTATTAAATTTGGCAATTTTATGAATGAATCTAGTTTGCAAGAAGGTTGAAAGTCTCAAGTTTCTTGTATACATTTGTACTAAATAAACTTGCAATAATTATTTTTTTTAAGTAATAATAAGTTATGCTATTAAAAGATGTAAACAATTGCTGTTTTATGTAATATATTTCAAAAGTTCATATAATTCTAATGATTGTTATGTACAGTGTATATTTCTTTTAAAAAGTTGTCTATTATTTAGCTGATAACCATAGATTTTTCACGAAAAGATGCTTTCCTTGGGTGTCGTAATAAGTAGCTGTTTGATTATAGGGTGGATTCAGTTTATTGTTCATAAAAGTTCCCCCTTCAAACCTTATGGTCGAGCAGAGTCCAGCTGTTTCAGTGACCTTGACATGGTCAGCACTACATCAGGTACCCATAAGGGCTGGGATCCTAACTAAAGACCCTTGGGTTAGCAGTTGCACACACTATCATCCAACCACACATGCCCACTCTTTTACTCTGCTTCTACGTATCTATTAAAGTAAGATTTGAACTAAAAATCAGCTGACTTGAGCCATGTGATTTGGCTAGTGAGGTGAGATTATAGTTTGTCCCATGACAGAGCCACCCACACATCCAATGCACTAGTTGTGATGCACTAGGGCAGGAAGTATGTGCCTGGTGGAACCATAATTCTAGTTGTTGGCAACATGACTGTGAGATACCCTCTATTTGGTTCATGTTTTTGCCTGGCTCAAAAGCATTGATGAGCCTGCTATGTTAGACATTGGTGTTGTCAAACATCCAGTTTGACAGTTATTATCAAACCTTGAGTTAGAGAACGAACTTCATATTTTTCAAATCCTTTTTTTCTGCAACAGCTTACAAAACAAGCAACAAATTATCAAAATTCAAATATTTATTGTTATCTAAAAAAAAAAAAAACAAGGGTTCTGTGCAACTGTTAACATTTTACAACTTTACTTTGACTACAAAAATTTTGATTATTCAAAAATATGTTATGTATAGGATTAGCAAAGTATAACACAAAACATCTTATGTCTACAATCTTGGTTAATCAGCACTGAATAAACAGATGTGTTGTTGATGTGTGTTAATAATATTCATGCTCTTTTTAATAACTGGGTAATTCGTGAAAAAATTTACAGAACCCTTAAGCGTAAAAAAAATAAGACAGCATTTAAAAGCAATCTTACCACAATTTGATTTTTTTGCTCACTAATGTTTTCCAAAGATAACTTAGAACAATGGATTATTCCATGAGTGACCGTTAACTTGGACTACATGTAATTAAAAACTGCTACCACACATTGTGAACAGTGTGGAAAATTGACCAAAGCTGTACAAAATCTTTGTACAGTAAAGTATATATTTAGTAGTCAAAGTTTGGCATTAAGATTTTATATGAAATTTTAAAAAAATTGCATCACCTTACACATTTACAATTTTAGCAAAATTTACAATAACTCAAAATGAATTTACATGGTAGAAAAACTATTCTAGAAACTTATTAAAATGCAAGATAGAATTCAGTATACAAAAAGGATGTGGAACTTACAATACATTCAAATCTTTTCACAATTGCATACTTTGTAAGTTTTTCTAAATTTTGTGACCTAATAGTTTTTTTTTAATTACCAATACAATTAAGATTCAGAAGTGATGGCTACATGTTTAACACTAGTTTTTGCTCAAGTTAAACCAATTAGTTTCTCAATAGTTGTTTGTTTCTGGAAACTAAACACTCAATCATTTAGAAATACCATGAGAATACAATCTAATTTTTTTTTAGGTAGCATAATATCACAGCTTGCTAAGGTTTAGTCTTGTGTATTCTCCTAGATTTAACTTTTAGATCATAATCATAAATATTTATGGCATATTCCTCTATTTTATAGCTGGTCACTGGTATTCAAATTTCATTTTTATATACATCAATTTATTACTGATTTTTTTAAGAAAAGTTTTTAATAACATCACATAGTAGGATAACTTGACGTGTGCATCTGGCTTAATTTACCTTTGTTTCTATAGTAACAGGTGCACCACTATTTCATTGACTATTTGTATGAACACAAAATATACTTAAATACTGATATTAATCAAGGATGGTAACTTTCATCTAGCATCTTTTGTAGTTCTTGGGAACAAATCTTAGCTTGGTCTCTGGAAGTAAAATAATTAAGTTTATATTTGTTTAATCTTGAATTCATTAAATAAAATTAGATTTTTTTTTTATATGTGACCAAAAAAATCTAGACAAATATTGCATTTTACAACAAAACAATTCAATACAATTTTTTTTCCAAATAGTGTAGTTACAGCTTTAAGAAAACATTTCGTCACTTTTCATTAGTCAAATAATTTGATAACACTAAACAAAGCAGATAATGACAACATGGTAACTGTGCAGTGAAAGTAAAATCTTTCAACACACCATGGGAAAAGTTTCATGTCATAGAACCTGTTAACTGTTTTCATTATGCCTTTGCTTTTCATTACAGTGCTATTGGGTTGCTGGTTTAAATAAAGAAATCATATTAAATAAATGATTAAAATTATTGCCATACTGTTATACTGTCTTGAAAAATAAAAGCTCACCTATAAGGCTGTTGCTGGCCTGGTGTCATGTGCCTCCAAGTATGGCCCATCATTTTACTAATTGATGAAGCTTGAAGACCTGGGTTCTCTCTAGTTTTACAACACAAATAGAAAATAATTAACTCTTTTCTTGAATACTAGGACATGTGAACTATTATATAGACTCAATAAATTGTGTTGTTACTCTAAACACAACTCAGTGATTGTGTAGCCCAACAACAAAGAGAACTCACATAGATTTTGTAGAAACATGAGTAACACAAAGAAAGCTGAGAGGGATGTAGTAGCAATGCCACAAAAAGCCCATTAATTGTGTAGCACAAGAGCAATGAAAGCTCAGAAAGATTGTGTAGCCATGCCACAAGAAAGCCCATTGATTATGTAGCATAACAAAGAAAGCTGAGAGGGATTGGGTAGCAATGCCACAAAAAAAGCTCATTGATAGTGAAGCATAACAACAAAAAAAGCTAAACACATTGATCGGACTGATTGTGAAGCAATGCTTCAAACAAAGCTAATCACATTTATTGGATTGATTGTGTAGCAATGCCACAAAGAAAGCTCTTACTGATAAAAGTAATATACTCTGAAAAAGCTTACTTAATAAATCTTTTCCTATGGATACGGCTGTACATCATAAATCCATTCATCCAAGATGACTTTCTGAGATCTAGTTTAGATGTGACTTCTATGCTGGCCTCTTTAACAACCTTTTCACATTCCCTAGCTAGTTCTATCTCTGGTCTGAAAATAATTAGCAGCATTTTAAAAAATCAATATAAACTGGTAAAACATTTTTACAATTATACCCCCCCCCCCCCCCCCCCCATATTTAGTGGATTTTTCTAACAAATGTAGCTGGATAATGATTAACTGAATATTCTTTACTTTTCACCCATATTAAAATTTGATGATGTTCAGTATTTTGTCAAAGACATTTTTAATACCAATATAGCCAACTGGTATTATAATATTTGAATAACAAATAAAGAAGCAGATAAATATAATGATGGTCTATCAGTATGTCTTAGTGACATCAATTGTTGATAAAGAAATCTTACACTTGGTCAGTTTCTGTACATTCTTTTTTAATGTCACTCTGAAGTTCAGACAGCACACCAATACTGACTCTTTTACTCTCAGTATCTTAAATAAAACAGTAGAAAGTCATTTTCATTTAGAATGTGAAAAAACACTATGTTCAAGATTTTGTATTAAATATGTTATGAGTGATAAATATACACACATTAGGTTAGATTGTTTATTACTTGACCAGTTCATCAGGCTAAAAGATAACATACCAGTTTTTTCTTCAGCATGGTTGTATTCTTCCACATCCATCTTCAGATCAATATCAGTCCAGTTAGTTATATTAAACAGTGGGACTCTTCTTGGGCTAGACTGCTTGCGCTTGTTACAACGTGGTACCAGCTGCACATCCAACTGATTATGAGTATTCTCCATACGATGATAGCTCCCAACACATTTGTCAAATGAAATTCTGGACATTGCATCAATGTCACTTTCAAATTTGATAGTTGTCTGTGGCAGCACCTGGTTGGGTGAGACTATTATGGTGTGGGACATATCAGACAGCTGTTCATCCTGAAAGTTTGGGTCACATCTGATGCCAAATTGGTTTTCTGGCTTACCCTTTTAGAATAAAAATATCCAGCCTTTCAATCAATGTTCATATTTGTGTGATTGGTTTAGTTAAAATTTTCATTTACTACAGTTAATGCTTGCTTCTCACACAAATTTTAAAATTAATCAAACTACTTGGATTACCTCATAGAAGACACAATTGTCTGGGCTGCCAAGCCACTCTACTTCATCTGGTGTTTCCATATATTTGCTCTAAGGAAAATATTTTAATACCTTTTCATTACATATTAAATTATATTAATAGTTAATAGAATTAAATTTGTTGTATATTACAACTGTATTTATTAGTATTTAGTTTCAGTCATATAATCATGCTTCACTTACTTCAAAGGTTGAGGATGGCAGTTCAAAAATGGTATGATCATAATCATTATTACCCAACAGCTGATCAAAGTTATCTGCTGTAGGAAAAAAAAGTTTTTTTTTTAATAAAATTAAACATTTTAGTTAAATAGCCTTGTGTTGTTTTTTTTTTTTTGTTGTTAATATTTATACCTACAATTTGCCCCAAACACAGCCAATTTTAAATGCAGGAACGTTGACTAAAATTACAAAATCAAATAATACCTGACTCTTCAATTATAACTTCCTCTGCAGGAACTACCCAACCTGGACAACCACTAGCATTATTGCTCTGATCTTCATCTGTATCTTGGTAAAGGCTAGATGAAGGGCAGGTGGAGTCTTGAGATTCTTGAAGGAAATTTTCTATCTTTAGGGTAGGGGATTTGTGGCTTGGCTTGTTACTGGGCATTGAATCAGTGGTTGAATCAACAGTAGGAGAAGACAATTTAAGTCTGCAAGAGATATTGCTGGCAAATATTTCACTGTCTTCCTGCCAAAAAAAAAAACAACCTAACATTAATTTTGGCCATATACTATAAAAAAAATCATGGTTCTAAAACAAATATCTGTAGCTTATTTCAAATTAGTTTTTGATATAATGCTTCAAAGGTACATACGCTGTCATCAGAACTAATTGCATAAAATTCTCTTCTCCATGTACCTGTAAAAAAAACAATACTTTTTTAAAAGTTGATAAAGATATAGACTATTCTTGAATCTACCTAACTACTGAAGACATTATTTATACAAAGGGGTTTCAGAAAATTAAAATTGTTATACTAAAACTTTGCAACATGTTAGTGTGATTATATATTTTAAAACATTTAATTTAACAAACCTACCTGATTTCTCTATATCTTTGATACTGGAGGTTAGTTTCAGCCAGGAAGGATCAGGACAAACGTTTAATTGTGAACTCATATATTTAATTGTGTTTTCCAGGTAAGCAACATAACTGATTATTCTCTGCATCATGACCACCTGTTGTTTTTTTTTTAAAATTTAAGTCCAAAGGAAAACTAATGTATATAACTGAACATCAATAAAAATAAAATTCTTTACTTAATAAAAATGCAAATTAGTTTTAAGCAATCAAAGCTGCTATCAAGGCAAGTGTTCACAAGGCTTTAAAGTACAGAAACTAATACTTCTTTAACAAAGCAATAATCTTAAGGATTGACCTTCGTTTCCTTTCCATCTTCAGCAGAACCTGGAACGCCTTTACATATTAATCGTAGGTGCTGGTTCAATGAATGGTGCCTTAGGCTAATAGAATAAGCAAAAGGAGAACAAAAAGCTTTAAACTCAACATTCACTAAAATGCAGACAATGTTTTTTTTATAATTAAGTTCTTCGCTGATAAATAGTAATTGATATTAATACATTTTATAAACACAATATCATAATTTATCATGGTGATAATTAGACTACCTTATTGGTAGTCCAATTATAATAAAAGTTACCGCTCATTTTCTCTATGCTTTTCTTTGAGCATTTTAACAGTGTTAGGTGTTTTATCCTTGTGATAATAGTTGGTCTTTTTTTTACTTGAAGGGGATGACAGGAGTTGTGACTCAAAGTATGTCATAGCTTCAGCTGCAGAGTTCTAACAGTTGAGGATAAAGTAAATATGAAATTACATTTTTAAAGAAATAGAAAAAAAGTCAACTTAGAACATATTTAGCCTATACAGATTGAAACTGGTTTAGTTAATAACACTGCTTTATTAAACTTAATAACTGATGATAAATAAAGCATGCCTCAAGTATCATTTCTGATATCTCAGAAGACATTTCTTGTTGAATTGGTTTGTGAACTGTATAAGTTTCTGTCTGTGTAAAAACATCCTCTCTATCTTCTTGTGTTGAATGTTCATTGTGCATCTCAGTTGGCTGATCTTCACTAACTTCCATCTTAATACAAGCATTGGTATTTGCTGCCATCTATAACACTGCAAAAAAAAAAAAAAAAAATCAACATTGTATGTTATTGGTTTAGCTAAAATAGATCCAGATCCTAATTAATGAAGTCATACTTACTTAAATTACTATAAGTATGATACACATTTGCATTGCTGTAGGATAACTGTTAAATCTATACATAAGTAACTCTAACTTGAGCTATAGCTGATAAATACATTTGATAAACAACTAGCTATGTTCAAATGATGTCTACAAATACAGTATATGAAATAGGGCTACCAAAGCGTTGCGAGGTGGGGGTGCGGAGAGCACCAGGTGATACCATTTAGGGGGGTGACACCAAGACGAAAATTGCAATAAATATAAAGAAAAATGCTTTTTGCCAGTTCAGTTAATGAATAATTAGCGTTAAAAAGTCAAATAAGTATAAGAACACATTGACCATCTCAACAATACATACACACACACAAATATATATGTATATTTTTCCTTTGGTGTGTGTGTGGGGCGGGGGTGTGACAAAATGAAGTGATACAGAACCTGGTGACACCCGACCTAGCGACACCACTGAGGGCTACTATTATAGGCAACTTATAAATAGCTTTATAGACAAAGTTACTTTCTATTTTCTATGGAGCATGATCTTTTTGAAAAATAGATATAGATCTAGATCTAATCATAATTCATAACCTGTTGGTTTCAAATCTATTTGAAGTATTTGGATCTAGATCTAGGTTAGGTCAATTTATGAATTTAACTTTCAAAGATAAAATATATATTATATTTGTTGCTTAAGTCAGTAATTTAAATCAGATTAATTAGAATCTCTCCTAGATCTAGAATCTAGTCTTAGAATCCACAAACTTCAATTTGAAAATGAAATTCAGTAACATTAACATTGAATAAATTGTAAAGTTAAAAATAACAATGCTCATGGCTGAGTCATGACATAATCAAGATTTAATCTTGATTATGTCATGACTCAGCCATGAGCATTTCAAGATTACATTAGATCTAGGGTAATCCCTTAGTTTAGCGTCGGTTATTATTCCGGAATCGTATAGCAGTAAAAAACAGTAAAACAATGCCAAAGTCTGTCACACACTTCCGGAATTCACCGGAAGTACTGTAAACCATACTTTATTTGGTGTCATCTTTTATTTTTATACAGAATGTTTAAAATTTAGATAGATTTATTTTCGTAATCATTTTTACATTTAGTAATCATTTTTACAATTTTCGTAATCTAGATTTTTTTTACTTGGCCTAGCAGCTAGACATCTAGCTAGATCTAGATTCTAGATCTAATTAATTAATGGTACCAAATCCGCTGCAAGCAAAAAACATTAAATTATCAGCCTACATTAACATTTGACTTCATTATTTATATTTATATTAATAATATGTTTTTTTTTTTAGATCTACTAATTTAAATCTACTATTATATTTATTCTTGTTTCCTTTTGTCGATTAAACTTAAAAAATTAAAACATTAATTTACTACAATCGACTTTCAATTTATTTATATTTCAATGATCAAATAAACCATGATTTACCGTAACTCTAGTTACCGAGACTCAACAAACATTACCCGATAATTTCCGACGCTAAACTAAGGGATTACCAGATCTAGATCTACACTCTAGTCCTTGGTCAATTTACTTTTAAATCTAGATCTAGGTTCTTGACCCTAAATGTCCTAGCCTGGGCCATAGGCTAGGCAGGGTTATTAATTTTATGTAGATCTAGAATCTAGTAATTCTAGTTCTAGATTCTAGTAGATCTAGATCTTGTAGTAGTTAGTAGATTCTAGTAGTAGTCTAGATCTAGATTAGTATGTACTAATGTAGAAAGTAGAATCTTGTCTAGAAATCTAGAATCTAGACTTAGACTCAATAGTCTAGTCTTTAATTTTAAGTCTACCTTTAGTTTTACAATGTTTTAAGTTTATTAAAAGACTTGAGTAATAATGGTCGGTAATACCTAGATCTAGTCACGATCTAGATCTAGAGAGATGATAGTTAAATTATTTTTAGAATCTAGATCTAGATCTATGTATTCCCACGTGGGTTTGTCTCCGACTGTTAGTGTTACTAATCTAGGCCTATGCTCATGGAATAATTTTAATTGTATGGAGTCATGTGACCAGTTCTTAATTTAGAACAAGAATCTTATTTTTGTTTCTTATAATACAAAATCTACCCTGTACTCAGAATCAATTTGTTGACGTGGCCTGAAAAGAAATGCCTTTGTGTTGTCTGTTGTAAAAATTACGAATTGCATATATTTACAGTTCCTCCATACAATCTAAGAGATCTAGAATCTAGTCTTATTAAATTAATTTAGTCTAAATCATAAAATAAAGTTGGGCTACGTTTTTTTCAACCTTTAGCGCGCTTTACTTACAACACGCTTCCTAGATCTAGTTTAAATAATAAATAAGGCCAAGCCTTTAAATATTTCTGGAATTATTTGCATTGGTATTGCGCTTTGATGCGTATTTATATAACGATAGAGATTTCAATAAATTTAATAGTTGAAAATTAATTTACTAACATTTTATATGAAAAGTCATGGATACGTTTTAAGCAATCTTGTACTTTTTCGTAATTTATAATTAAAAATTAGCTGAAATAAATGTACATTTTGGCATATTGTTCAAGGGGAGCTTATCGGTTTTTTTTTTTTTAAATGTAGAGATCTTCAAGCAATAAGGGGTAAACAAAGCCGTTTCCGGTTTTGAAAAGTAAACAACCAGCGCACAATGTTTTATCACGTAAGTTTTTACAATTAGATCTAGAATATCAATTTATTTAAGTAATTAAAAGAAAAAAGCATCTGCCGTCTAAATTGTTTTATATCAATTGAATTATAAGTATAATTGATTATTAATATTGTAACTTCACACACTAAAAAAACCCTTCGCGGATGTGTTAAGTTAAATCTGCTATCGTTTTGGGTAGGCCCCCTACGTAAAATCGGGTAATCCAGGGGTCTCCAAACTACGGCCCGCGGGCCGGGCCCGCAAGGTCCTCTCATCCGGCCCGCGGAATCTTTTTGTCCAAGGAAAAAATTTCTGTTAGAGATGGCTGATGAACTTTGCTCAGAAAATTCAAAACAATTTCAAAATATTATAGCTAGCTTTGGGTGCAAATACCTTTGCCCACCGTGTTTCAGACATTGGTGAAAACATCGTGACTCAAATAGCGAAAACTGCAAGCACGCTTCACTATTTTTAAAAATTGCAATGGATGAGTCGCTGGACAGCTGTTTCACCTATCAACTGCTTGTGTTGTTCATTATGGGTGTGGTTGAAGACATGAACATAACACAAGAGCTGGCTTCCCTACATAATATGTATGGCACTGTTACCGGAGAGGACATATTCAATGAGTTAAAGACAAAATTTGTTGATTATAACTTGGACTGGACTAACCTCAGTTACCTGACTGTTGATGGGGAAAAGTACATTAGTGGCATAAAGAAAGGCTTGGTTGGACAAGCGAATGAGAAACATATTCTACAAACAATGCTCCTGCTCTCTATTATTCATCAGCAAGCTTTGAGTGCTAAATATATGGACATTAGCAGTGTACTGCATCCTGTGGTGAAGATGGCGAATTTAATAAGGTCATATGGGCTCAACCATAGATATAGAATACGTGAAGAATAATTTGAGAGCAAACTTGAACCTCGAGTGTGTTGTCGGCCCCCCGACAGTGTTTCTTTCAGATTGTTTTCTCTGGGAGGGGGGGGGGGGCACTTGAAATTTGTATATATTTTAGACATTTTTCGGGGGGGGGGGGGGGGCTCCATAACACAGAAAATATGCCTTGAAGAAACTCAGGCCCCCCGAACTGATATTTGATAGTCGATGCGGCCCTCGGTCTGAAAAGTTTGGAGACCCCTGGGTAATCTATCGTTTTGGGTACGTAAAATCGCCCGCGACTTGTAATGTGAAAAACAGGTGACTCCTTACATTTTAATAATTATTTCACATTTTGAGGAGGAATTATGTTTTTTAAAATACAAAAATGTTTCCTTGTTACCTGTTTTTAAACAATTGAATTAGGCCTAAAACTTTTCCCGTAATAAATGAAGACTAGCGATGTTTCCAACAGATGCAACCAGGAAATCTGAAAGAAGTTAAAATTATGCCACATTTTATTGTTTTTCAAAAATAACTAAACATTTTAATTAAACATTTTAATTTTAATTAATTGAGATGCACAATTGATTGATATAGATTTATCAATGCACAACAAGTTGTCACTGTATCGTCTATTAAAGGATTGTCCTTTTATTCAAATAGTCCAATAGCATAGTGTCACTTAGAATTTTGTATTTTTGTCTAACTGACCCTATTATCCTTTCTACACGAATCCTTGCATTTGCAATGTCTCAGCTACATCAAATGCAGATTATGTAAAGAATGTAAAGAAAGGATTCCGCCTCTCACAAAAAAATCTGTTAAAAAAACTAGTTGAGCTAGAAAGCTACTTTGTTGTCATCCAAGTGAGCTTTACAAGAATATATCATTTTAATTTTTATATTAATTATATGGTGATTTAAAAAAAAATAATCCTTATTATTTTTATTTTCAATTTTTAGATTTGGAGTGTTGATGTACTATTAATAGCCTGTAGGACCTAGACCTCTATTGAATACATAAATTTAAACACTTGTGTTGTGAAATATGCATGCTTTTAAAATTTAGGTTCAGTATTGTCAAATTTGTGCGTGTAATAACTTATTTTTAAATTATTCATTTTTCATTGAAAAAAATTTGATTTAATTTGTGTGACATTTTTGAAATATGTTTTGATGTAGGAAGATACAATTATGAGATAAATTGTAAACATGGTTAACATTATGCTGATAAATAAAGTGCATTAATCAATACACAATAAAAAATTATGTGTTCATTAAAATCTTTTAATACTTTTATTAATTTGCAAATCAACCTCCTTTGGTTCTATGTAGTAAAAGCTATGTTTAAATAACAATATTAAAATGCAACTTTCAAAAAACCTGGTCACCTAATTTGAATAAGAAAAACACTTTGCAAAAAAAAATTCTCACCTATTTATCAAATATCTAAATATTTTCCAGCTATTTTCATTTTATTTTTTGCTTTTTTTTAATAGGTGTCACTTGAACATGACATATTACTACATCCACGTTATTTTGGACCAAATCTGTTGACCACTGTCAAACAAAAACTTTTCACAGAAGTAGAGGGGACTTGCACAGGAAAGTAAGTATGAAATACTTCAATGATATGTTGCTTTTGATTGCCTTTAATTATGTAATAAAATAATGTTTGATATAGGATTATGTTTAATATTACTTATTTAACTTAGATAAATTTAAATATTTAATCCATATGTTTAGTGCTTACACCAGTCTATAATGCAAAGAATAATGGATCAGCTATTAAGAGAAGATGGGACAGCGTGGCCTAAGCTTAGAGTGCTTAGCTGCAAACGCAAGAGTCTTGAGTTCGAATCTAGATCCAAGTCAGTAGATCCTGAGTCCACCCAGCTCTGATGGGTACCTAACTCATGTTAGGGAAAGTAAAGGTGACTGGGCAAAGTACTGAGCATACCTTCCCTTCATATGCCGAGGTCAAGATACATATGAACACTACTTCATCTGCCCAATGGATTCTTTACTTACTGTGGATAATGCCACATTCTCCAAACACGACTTGATCAGAATGAGATCACATGAGGTTTCGAGTGTATTGCAATAATTTTTCTATGCATTTTATTCAGTCTAAACATAATATCCATTATTCTATAATCTTGTGAGTGTATATTGAAGTACTGCTCATAAGGTATGTAATAAAAATGTCACCAATTACAGAATGAAATAAAGGATTGAGAGCCACTTAAATTTATTTTCAATGTATGTTATGCAATGTGTTCAATTAGGTATGGTTTTGTCATCGCTGTGACAACCATTGACAACATTGGAGCTGGTTTGATTCAGCCTGGCAGAGGTTTTGTTGTTTATCCTGTGAAATACAAAGCTATAGTTTTCAGACCATTTAAGGGGGAGGTCTTGGATGCTGTGGTAACACAAGTCAATAAGGTAGACAGTCTGGTTTAAACATTTGGTTTTCATAACTGGCTAGACTAACTCTTATTTCTAATTGACCAAAAGACATTGTTTCTTGAAGATATGAAAAGTACTATAGATTAAGTTAATGTATTTCTGTAAAGTAGGCTACATCATACGGCAAAAACACATTTGTTTTAAGCTTTGTTAATACTGTTAAATTGTTAGGCATTAAGCTTTGTTCTAGTAATAATTTAAAAAAAAACAACATTTAACTATCTAAGATTACATGTTGTTTAAATGTTTTTCTTTGTAAAAACTGTTTCAATAAAATGAATATTAAGTCTATACATATACTTATTTAAATGCAATTATTATTTGTATATCTTGTTGTAGGTGGGCTTGTTCACAGAGATTGGCCCTCTCTCTTGTTTTATATCAAGACATGTAAGTTCTTTAAAAATCAATTTTAATAAAACCATTTGCATACTAGTTATTTCTAAATCTTTCTTACTTTTCTAAGTTTTGTAATTCTTCAACTTTTATTATGAGATAATTTAAAAACTGTGTTAATTAGATAATGTATTGAATATAAATTCACATTACCTTTTTGTTTTTAGTCTATACCAGCAGATATGGAGTTTGACCCAAGTTCAAATCCCCCGTGCTACAAAACTAAAGATGAGGTAAGAGTAGCCACCATCTAAATTATCATAGAGCTGGGCCATCCTAATTGCAATCAAACATTTTAAGCTGAATTTTACCACCTTCCCGGGAACAGCTGTTACCAAAATACAAAACCTTCATCTAAAATAAGCTCACAGTTATATAAAACTCCTCACACTAACATAAATTGAGGTGGCCAGCGTTCTTCTTCATCTTAGCACTGAAATAAAAAAAAATAATAATGCCACTTAACATTTGGCAAACTCTTTAAGATTATTTATCCTGTCACAGGTTTCTGATGTCATTTATTGACAACCCTGTGTCTTATATCCTTAGCATTTGGCAAATATACAATGTTTAAACTGCTATATTTTTGTGTCATACTATACAAATAATGCTGTGCTAAATTTTCTGTTACTTCATGGATAAAGTTAGAGATCATTTGAAGTTCAAAACTGTTATTTGATAATTATATGTTACAAAATATTAAATACAATTTTTTTTGTTTTAAAGGACATGGTAATACAAGAGGAAGATGAAATCAGGTTAAAAATTGTGGGCACTAGAGTTGATGCTAAGGATATAGTGAGTCATTTTCTAAAATCTTAACTGTGCTTTGATATGATCTCAGTGGATGTATTTACTAAAAGATGCAAAATAAAGAGTATTTTGTAAATCTTACCAAGTTATTTTTTTTATTCTCTTTTATCAAGTTAGACAATCTGCTAAAACTCACATTTATTTATTTTTCTTGGTTGTTTCCCCTTATCCACTAATTTTAATTAAAAAAAATTTTTTTTTTTTAAATGCCATATTTCATATCTAACTTATTCTTAAGACAATAACTGTTATATTCTTTATTTTTGCGTTGTTAAGTTTGTATAATTATAATTGTTTTTGTTGACAGTTTGCGATCGGGACTCTTATGGATGATTATTTAGGTGAGTTACTTTCGCTTAGCTGATTTAGAAAACTGTTACTGAAAATTCTTTGTTATATAGCCATGCCATGAATTGACTACTTACCTCAAACTTTTGTACTTTTTAAAATTAACTTTTGAACTCACCAAAACAATTCAGATATTTTTGTGTGTGTATTCTACAGGTCTTTGATGTCACCAGTTTACAGCGTGTGTGTACATGTGTATGTATGAGTGTATGCAGTATCTGAATGTCAAGCACTGACAGGTTCCCACCATTTGTATGTTGTCACCTCCACACTTTGTTATACTTTTATTTTGTCAATAAACAAAATTGTTTTGATTCATCTCCGTTCATGAAATTGTATATATTTCCTGATATGTGTTGTTTTGATTAAAATATTCTAATTTAATTTTTTGTAGTTAATGATACTTTAGGTTTTATTTCTGGAGTGACTGTGATTTATCTTCAGCTTATGCTGTGCCTTGCTTTAGACTCTTATGTTGAAATGTTTGTAAGTCTATAATGGTCATACTAGATGATTAGTGATAGCTTGTTATAGTTGAGGAAAGCAAAAAAAAAATTTTTTGTGGGCATTCACTTTCAAATGGCTGCAGTTTGTAAAGTACACATCAATACAGTTAACAATGTTTTATACTCAGTAATTTAGCAGGATATGGTATGCAAATTTTTTGCCATGCAAAAATCCTTTGGTACTTAAAAGAACTTGATGATAGTGTTATCTAGTCTAGGGGAACCATAAGCCAGGGGTTTCCAACCTTTTTTTATTCTAGAGCACATTCTAAAATATCGGTAGGGTGGCGGGCACCACCTATTTTAAATCGACAAACTCCTTCCATAACTTGTCATTTTCCCATAATTTTCTTATAGTCATAATGTATTAATAAATAATAAACAAAAATGTTTCAAAATAATAAAATTATTTGGCATTTTTTTCAAATTGCATGCACACAGAGAAATGTATTTAAGTATTTTCAAAACGTAAATAGTGACAAGTTGGGACAAGTATCAAACATAATTAATAAACCTAGGCAGTCAAAAAAAAAAAAAAACAATTAAAACTAACAAATGAATAAAAAATAAATAATATTTTAAAATAATGTTTATGAAATAAATTCTGTCTCTGTGGAATAGTGAGAGGCAGGCACATACCAATCGTTCAGCGGGCGCCATTTCGCCCGCGTGCACAGGGTTGGGAACCTCTGCCATAAGCTTATATATCGTCAAGTATAGAAACCCAGTAACTTTTGTTAACACCCACACTTGCCAATAAACAGCACTTATCTTCACTGTACATACTTGGTTTCGTTTCAACAAAATGCTTTTTGAGAGATCAGTCCACTTTAAATATTGTGATTTAAATATTTAAATACAGCAAACAGAAGCCTTATGTTTAAAAAAAAATTCTTCTCTGCACATGGTGCCTCAAACGTAGACTAAACTTCTGTATCTATAGATCTGCATCTAGCAGTTTTTATGGGCTTTGTACATGTTAAATACATGAAACATTTTAACAAGCCAACACTTTTCAAGTCTCCCTCCCAGGAGAGTGCTAACAACCCCAATTGTATTAGCTCCCCTTTATAGAAACCTTGCATTTGTTTTTTTCAGCATGGATAGCCATTGGTTGAAAATGATCAAATGTTTACATCTCATTAAATACGTGAGTCATTATCTGGCACTGTAAACATAAATCAACAAACTCTGATAATAATCATAAATCTATTTTGGGATGACTCCACTGAAATAAGTGTTGGTTTTCTAAGATATTTACAAGCCTGTATTTAGGGACTATCTGCTTCAAGTCAAGTCTCTTGATGAATCAAGGTGCGAACCTTTTACCTTGAACTTTCACCTTCACTCAACCTTGTTTACATAAGGACAAAACATTCCATCATGTCATGTCTTTTTTTTTTCTTATTCTACGCCAAACCCTGATAAGATTTTTTGTGTGTTGTTGATTAAAATTAAATAAAACCTGGAGATAGATTAGGTCTAGAAAATTCGAGAATATATTTGGCGTGGAATAAAAAAAACGTGTATTTAAGAAGTGATGTTCCAAGATATTTCTCTGTTATCTGAGGCTGTTTTATGGTGATGGCGACAGTTGTGAGTTGATCCTTCTCAGAGGCGTAGCGACCCTTCCCGGCGCCCGGGGACAAACGTTCGATTTGCACCTCCTCCTCGAACATTTGGTTCCCCCCCCCCCACCCCCCCTCAAACTTTTGGTTTGCACCCCCCTCAAACTTTCGATTTGGCGCCCCCCCCCTAAGGTCGGCGCCCGGGGACTTATGTCCCCCCCCTCGCTACGCCTCTGATCCAGTGTTTCTTCCAGACTTTTTTCTCCGGGGGGGCACTTGAAATCTTCGGGGGGGGGGGGGGGGGCGGTAAACTTTCTTCGGGGGGGCGGACAGTGTTAAAAGTATATATTTTCTATATAAAATATATAAATTTCATTTCGTTCGGGGGGGGGGGGGGGCGGAAAAAATTTTTCGGGGGGGGGCTTCGCCCCCCCGAAGAGATGCCTGGAAGAAACTCTGCTCCGATCCTTCTAGAGATGATCTCATACAACTCCAGCTCAAGGCCTAACCACCCTCTTACTTCGCTAGTACTTAGTCTACTATTAGGATTTATCTCAAATCTTGGGAGATAAATTTTCAGTCCACTTGGGTAACTACCTACGCTTAGAATTCAATAGTGCAAACGATAAAGCACGTTCGAGGCAAAACTATGATCCTACACTTATATTCATAGCTGGCATTGGTATTTTATTTTTAGGTTATTTGAAGGCATGCCATGGAATGGTGAGTCTTTACAGAGACCTTTAGTTTGGTGCCGTAAAGACTGTCTTACATTGTGGTCTGATCTATAGCACAGTAGATGGATTATTAATTGTTGAAACAACGCGAGTTGTTTGGAGCTGTGGATCTGTATCTTATACAGCATCATAGATTTTTTTTTTGCCACGTACCAAGATTTTTAATCTATTGTAGACACGTGTCTCTGAAATGTTAAAGAAGAAACGTGTATTCCGAATGTAACGTGGGCGTAGCGAGAGTACTAACATAAACAATGTACGTTGATAATTTCTTAACATTTATAATCTTAAAACGCTTATAAAACATAATAATTGTATATTTTCTACCGTGTAAATTTCGAGCAGGATTGCTTCTCGCTCCTGATCTAGATTCTCTCCCCTTGGAGTTCACGGGGTTAAGGTTTTTGCGCACCCGTGGCATAAATCAATTAATTTGTTAATTTCCTGTAAACGTGACGCAGGCTTGAAGTTTTGTGAGCAGGAAGCGACTTTCTCATCTCACATTATTTTTTCCACAATTTTTTGGCCCTGTGTTTCTCATTTTTTAATCGCTTAGTTCAGCGTTCGCTAGAACAATGAACTGAGTTTCAGTTTTCTTTTAAACAGTGCACGTTATGGTTCAGTGTTCCAAAGTACAGTAGGTTAATTATTTGAGTTTTTGATTAAATTAATTCAAGATATCGTCAAAAATCAATTTTTTTCAAGTATGAAAAAACTGTCGACTAGATTTGTCCATTTGTCTGAGGTCGGGGATCAAAGAATACGATCTTTGATCCAAAGTCTAAAGTTCGTCTCCCAAATTTAGTTGTGTGTCTACACAGCTTTGATAGGTACATGACTGTTGGACATATGACTGATTGTACACATGAATGATGGGTGTTTGACAACGCAGGAGCCCATAGCATCAGTGAACAGCGTGAGGCAGGTTTCTAGCAGAGTTTCTTCCAGGCATCTCTTCGGGGGGTCTTCGCCCCCCACCCCCAGAAAGTCTACTGCCCCCCCGCCCCCACCGAAAATTTCAAGTGCCCTCCCCCCCCCCCCTCCCCCGGAGAAAAAAGTCTGGAAGAAACAGCGGTTTCTAGCAGTCATGTACAGCTACTGTGGATTTTCCAGAACGTTCGCTCGTCTGCGAGTTAACGGCAAATTCGGTTTGTTCTCTGAATTTCGTCTCGCTGTCTAAAGCGAAAACCGAACACCCGGATCTATGTTTACCGGAGCGCTCGTTAAACGAGGGTGACGCTAAACTAACCTCAGTTTATAGCTCTCGGTCAGCAGTCTCTTGTACTTGTGAGATCACAAATAACTTCACTAATTTACTAATCAACGAATGCCCCACTCGCAAAAAAAAAGCAAATACAAGCATATAAATTACAAATGATGAATACATTTTGACAGCCAGCGAAAAAAAATATTTTTAAAAAGAATAAATAAACATCTGAGGTTAATTTTCAAAAGCTCTCGAACGGAAATGTGGCTGTAAAAAATTAAAGATCCTTTATCAGGGAATTTGTTTGAAAAATATTAAGTTTTTAAACCGTAGCCAGGGGGCATTACTCATTTTCCCTTTAAGGGAAGTAATGCTGGTTAAATCGGTCAAAAGGGGGTAAAGGGTGGCGTTAGTCCGTTCCAGAACAGAAAAAAATGACTAACCGAAAATGTCAGTGTAATCAATTATCATCTATTTCAATCGCCGCCCATTCTTTACTCTACCTCGCTAGAATGAATGGGGCGAGAAATGGACCATAGAATCTCGTGGTTGAGGAAGTTGTGTTTTTTTTTTTGTCGAAAGAGAGGGGAAATAAGCGAAAAGGGAGAGAATTGGGTAAAAGGATGGAGAAAAAGGACAGTGGAAATAAAAAAAAGAAAGGGGTGGGGGAGAAAGAGGAGCGGGTGCAGCATCTGCTCCTGTTCACAGACGTGTAATCAATTTTGGTAATTAGAGCAACCTGAACTCGTGAACTGTGTCAAACCCTAGCATCGGAGGGGATCCTCGTACGGTTGTTGGATTGTCGCCCTTGTTTTAGGCCGTCATAAGGCGTGCCATGGTAGATTTGTTTACTTTGTGCAATCACTTGCTTGTGTATATTTGATGTTTCATTTCTCGTTTCAATTTAAACTGATACATTTTTTTTCAGTACTTTTAATGTGTTAGAAGTTTGTATTTTCTATAAACATAACCAAATATCACACACTTCATCCACCAACCCTACACACACACACCAAGACCCACTCCCCCCCCCCCCCCAAGCGTTGGCCAATTACTCTACACCCCCCCCCCCCCCATCTCCCATCATCTCACACATGGCGCTGATCTGCTGATTTAGATAATCGCTTGTTTAAGTGATGTGGTCTACTATCTACCTTTTGTAGTAGAGAATTGCCAAATCTTGCAATTGGCCATCACTTTCACAATAAAGATATGAAACTAATCAGACTTAAACGACAATGTAGAATAACCTATAACCTTAATTCAAGTAAGTTATTCAAGGTCTAACTTTAAAAATTTTGAGTTTAGATTTTTTGGATTTTTTTAGCGTGCGACTATTGATTTCTACACAAAAAATGTTTTTG